TCCAGAGCCTTACGGGCCAAACGAGAAGCAGATTTGTTTGCTGCTGCTTGTTCCGCCGTAGATGACATGAAGCTACCGTGGAATAAAGTCACTGGGGTTATTATGGATGGTGCACCTGCTGTGGCTGGGGAGAGAAATGGACCCTAGTCTGTAACAAAGTCAGCAAACAAGGAGGTAAAGCTACAAAACTCCACTGTATTATTCACCTACAAGGACTCTGCTAAACATTTGAAATACGACCATGTTCTGAAAAAGGCAATAAAGGCTATTAATGATATTCGCTCCAAAGCCCTGTGCCACCGCCAGTGTCAACAGTTTGTACTCAACATCCAGGCTGAGTACAGGGATGTTGTGTATCACAATGACCTGAGATGGCTCAGTCGGGGGTCGGCACTGCACTGAAGCGCCTTGAGGCGACTTTTGTTGTGATTTGGCGCTATATAAATAAAATTGAATTGAATTGCAGCGCTTCTACTCTCTTAGGGAGGAAATCAGACAACTCTTATAATAACACAACATGTGAACACGCTGAACAGGAGCCTTCAGGGGTAAAATGCACTGGTAAGACAACTGTATTCACACATCAAAGCCTTTGGGACCAAACTGCTACTTTTCTAAAGACATCTGTCACAAATGCAGCCCAATACCACACATTTCCCATCGCTACAGGAAATAATGACTAGTTTCCTACAGACCAATGTTAGTGCGCAATGAGGTGATGCAGCAGACTTCTCTGGCTGAGAAGGTTCAACAGCACTTTTGGGATTTGCAGCTATTGAAAAAATCATGCCTTTTTCCTCTCCCTCTTCCATGGACCCCGATGATGCTCCTGACCATTTGCCAGCCGAGCTCATTGAGCTGCAGTGTGACACCGAGTATCGCCGTCAGCACCAACAGCTTTACCGCCAGCTAGATAAAGGCGTGTTCCAAGAGATTCGAACATTTTGCTAAGAAAATACTGAGCTTGTTTGGCTCACATACTTGTGCGAGAAGACATTCCCCGTCATGAACAAGAAGCGTGAGGACGAGATTAAGCGACTCACTTGCGTGACATTTTGCGCATCAGAACCACTGTTTCTGAGCCAGCCCTGGGCCATTTACAAGGGTTAGGGTTACAAGGGTTACATTTTATTTCAATTTCATATTTTTGAAATAAAAAAACATCCATTTTTGTTTTTGAGATCTGATTCAAAATCCAATAACATAAAGTAGTTTTTTTCATTTTGATGGTCAATTTAAAAACCTAAAGAACGAGCGATGTACGGATTTATATGCCCAGTGTTTGTACTTTTGAATAAGTTAACTCTTAATGTATTTTCCTGTTCACATGTTTGAATTTAGATGTTTAATTTTTCTTCATTTGTGTTTTCAAATACATTATTTGGTCAAATTTATTAATTCATGATAAAAAAATTCATAATAAAATTTGTGTGAAAAATTAACATGATAAAGTTACGGAGCCCCGCAGGGGACATGGGGAAAAAAATTATGACGGACTTTTGTGAGATCTCACAAAAGTTGAATTCCAACAATGGCGGCAGCTACTTAGTTGTAATATTACTCTTTCTGGGTCACAAAATACACTTTTAAGATATTTTGAGGCGTGAATGTAGTTGTGTAAACGTCAGATACCTGCTCGGTTTACAAGACATCACCTATTTGCAAAAGTGCTCCGACGTTTTCGGAGATCTGACACCCACCATCTCGAAGCTAACGGGAGGTCGAGACCTACTACAGCCGGGAGGAACACCGCTTTCCCGGCACATCATGCCTCGACCTCCCGGTCGGCTTGGAGCTGGCGGCCTCCGAAGAATGCGGCTAAAACTTTTGCGAGATCCCGAGTTTGTTTTGCGAGATCTCGCAGAAGTCCGTCTTAATTTGTTTTCTCCCATGTCCCCTGCAGGGTCCGTATAAAGTCGTTCATTTGCATTTAATGTTAATGGTTCAAAATATTTCGGGCTGAATGGTCGGCCCACACACATGCTCAACTTCCCAAATCTGGTCCTCTTTGCAAAAAGTTTGGACCCTGCCTTAGGCAGCATCATTAGAAGACATAGCATACATTTACACTGCTATGCAGATGACACCCAGCTCTATCTGTCCATGAAGCCAGATAACACACACCAATGAGTTAAACTGCAGGAATGTCTTAAAGACATAAAGACCTGGATGGCCGCCAACTTTCTGCTTCTTAATTCAGATCAAACTGAGGTTATTGTACTCGGCCCTGAAAAGCTTAGAAATATGGTATCTAACCAGATTCTTACTCTGGGTGGCATTACCTTGGCCTGTGACCAAGAGATGTCCTTCAGTGCGGAAAATGCAAATACACAAAAAATCTAAATTATAAAGATATTGTCTCAGAGTAATAGTGAAAAACTAGTTGTGCATTTATTGGATGTAGCTTGGACTGCAGTAATTTGATATTAGGCGATCCTAAAAATGTCCCGTTTCCTTTATTTGTTCCAACATGCTGCAGCCAGAGTACTGGCAGGTACTCGAGACAGTCTGCCTGTTGATCCAGACTCAAATTCTGCTCCTCATACACAATCTTAATCTAAAAGACTTCATAGTACTATGGTACTGATAGATGTCAGACTTTTAAGATGATCAAGTATGTAGTTAAGGCTGGATCAGGTGACCCTGAATCTGCTGTGTCTTCACTCACTCTTTGCATTTAATCATTTAAGCCCTGGCCACCTTCCACGTGTCCCCTCACTCCCTACCAGGCGTGACGGCTGCCCCCTCCTCAGCCCGGTTCTGTCAGAGGGTCATTGTTGGGGTTTCCCTCTATTACAGCAGTCTTTAATAAAAAGCAGCTTGAGGCAGCTGTGGGGATAAATGTGTTAATGCAGTCACATCATCTAGTTTCTAATTGTAAACGTGCACCACTGACTTCAGCCCAACATGAGAGCACATTTCCAAAGTGATAAAGAAGTGACAGAAACCAAGTGAAAATGACATTTTTAATCAATTTTTATAAACCAACATTTCATTTAGCAGCATAACCAGATGGTCGTGAGGTATTTCTAAATCCATACGCTCTGAACTTCCTCCCACCCTCCTTCACTCACCCAGACCTACACACCCAGCTGCGATCCACACTACATCGACACTGCACATACAAACAAGCGGTCACATCCACACCCGAGCGTACGCTCCACAGACAGAAGGCACACACAGACACACACAGTCCTGTGGCTCAGTCCTGGACTGAGCAGAGCTGGCTCCCTCATCGTGGCTTGTAAGGCAGGCACACTTAATGGTGCAGTTTTGGCTGTAGGACAGAAAAAATTAGTCAAATTATTACTTTTGTTTAGACAGCTGCTCTTTGCATTCACTTCATAATAAACAAAGATCCATGTTTCACACAGAGCCAGTTTAAGACCGCTCCTCGGAGCGTGGCGGGAATTTCTGTCCACCGCTGCTGGGCGTCACTGATCGTCATGGAAACAGCTCTCGGTTGAGTAATAGTCATTTTTAATACCTTGCAGCAGACCTGTGTTAGTCTAGTCCAAGACTACGTCGCTGACAACAGAGACTCTGAGGAGTATGACCTGACTTATCTATGGCACTTTGTAATTACCCAGAGGGCAGCAGCTGCACCTTCAACACGTCAGCAGTACACTGCTGCGTCTATGCAGAAACATGATTCCTCTACATGCACTGTGAGGCACTGAGCTGGTTGCACGGTACAAACTGTCTGACTGGCAGCATCCTTTCAGCTGTGCAGAGGCAGTCTCATCAGCTACACCAGTGAACACAGGTGACGAGCTGCGAGGTAGCTGCACAGGCAGAGGCCGCCCTCACTAACGCAGCCATACAAGCAGAAACACAACAGAAACCACTCCGTTCTCAAAAGAGCTTCAAGGGTTACTCCTAGTCGCCTTTGCAGGGGCCAAGTGTGGACTGGAACTGCTCAGTACACCCATTTCCCCTCGTCCAAACCTACCTTCTGTGTGCCCAGTTTCTTCTCCACACCCCCAGAAAGCGTCCCGCTTTTATTGTCTTTCCAGGGGTAGAAGTTTGAGCGTGGAGACGAAGTGGCAGAGCTGGAAGAAGAGGAGGAAGTCAGGCAGTGGGCTGAAGGCTTAGAGGAGGGAGCGTTATCCTCCGTACGACCAGCTTTGCGTTTCTTCACCGTTCCCATCTGGTGCTCAAAGACCCTCCCGCTGCCCTGCCCGTGCAGCCCTGAGTCTCCCACGCAAGCACGGCTGTGGGAATTGGCGGTGGGAGAAGGGTCCCCCAGAGGAGGGTGTGTCCGTCTGTAAGTCCAAATAGCCTTTGTGCTCGGCGACTGGGCGTCTGTGGGGGAAGGCTGGGGGTGGGGTTTGCTGCTGGGGGAGAGCGTGCCATTGGTCTGTGCGTGCGCTTTGGAAGATAAAGACGACGTGTTGGAAGGCGGGCGGCCCCTGTCCTGGAGGACGATGCAGTTCCTGTCGGGACCCGAGTGCTCTCCTTCCTGGGATGGGACTTTGCGCTTGCGGAGAACAGCGGCTGTAGCGACTTGCTCTCGCAGCTTCAGCATTTGCTTGCTGGGACGTCCGACTGGATTCTTGGGTCGCCCGTGACTACCGGCGATGCTGCTGCTGCTATTGCTCCCGTAGTTCTCCAACTGCGTGGATGTCGGGGGCCTCCCCGGCCCTCGACTGGAAGATGATGAGGATGACGCCGTTTTGAGGGAGGAGCTAATATGACTTCCTGTGCGAACCTTAGAATGTGATGAAGAGGAGGACATGATGGTGGGAGACACGGATGTGATGGTCTTGGCTGGAGGAGGAGGAGACTGAAGGTCTGCAGCTTGAGGTATTTTCCTGGACAGAGGGAAAAAAGAACAGATGAGCCCACCTGCAGTGTCTGACAGCACAGCCATGTTTACAGTGGCCACACCCCCGCCTCACCCTGCCACGGGGAACATAAAGCCCAGACAGCACTGTGAGGTCATCTTCTGAGGGGGCGTTGAACCAAACAACCCAGGGTGCACCTCTGTGCCAGCCTTGTTTGTGCTGCTGTAACATGTAAGCCCTGAGTGTCTGTTCCTGCACTGCCCAGCATGTCAGCAGACACGTTGTTAGCAGGAAACTGCTGCCATACGACAGCTCCTCAGGACCTGCTCAGGCTCAGACCGAGCATCTGATGGAGGAAGAACGTTACACGTGGCATCGTGAGCATGTCACACTGCTGCTCTGTCTGAACGAGTCCCACTGATGTGACGTTATGGACCGAGTGGTTTTAATGCCACAGCCTACCTGTATTGTTGCCGACTGCATCCATCGCTTTATCAACACACTGCATCCATTTTCTAATGGAAGCTTCCAGCAGGACAGTGTCTCACACATTTCCTGTGTCAGGAACAAAAGGAGCTACACTGTTTGATAATGTTTGGGCTTTTACAGTGAACCAAAGCAGCTCCAACTCTTTTCCATGCTGCTGTTCACGGCTGACAGTGTCAGGGCATGCTCCCACATCAGCACTGACTGACAACCAAACCTGTCGTGCTGAACTAGGCTACAGTCAGCATCTCCATGTGTGTCACAGTCAGGGTGAACTGCTCTGTCTAAAGCACAGAATATAATGTCAGAGACATTCACACCCGTGGCCTGCTGCAGATCGTCCTGTGGGGCTCTGGCAGTGCTCAGAGTTCCCACACAGAGGAGCAGACACCAGTCTTGATGTGGGTTAAGCACCTCCTGCAGCATCTGTCCATCTCCTGGAGACTCCTGCATGCTGTTGAGGCTGTGCAGGGAAGGCAGCAAACCAGCTGAAAAGCACACAGCTGGAGCACTACCTGTGCAGCCTGTGCAGGGTGCAGTCAGGGTGCTCCAGTACTGACACTGACCCCGGTGTCCGTGGGTCGCTCCATTTTTGCACCACAGCTGCTGACAGTAACTCTGAGTAGTAAACACACATATATTCACATGAAGCTCTGTTCACAGGGACGTCTTACTTCCAAAGATGGGCGCTGATGTGCTGTTCCAGCATGCTGCTGAAGGCAGACCTCAGGTGGTGTAGTCTCCTGTCAAACGTGTAGATGCCCTGACCCAACACACGGCTTCCGAACGAGCACACCTTTAAAAACAAGAACACACCTTTAAACACCGAGCACAGAGGCTGTGCAGATATGCTGCTGTCTGAGTTTACATTCAACACAACTGTTTGTTTTGGAACTTCACAAAATCCTTTGAGTTGCTTTTCACACGTCTACTTTTGTATTTGTATCTATTCCAGCACCGTTTGCAGTCAGTCTCTCAGAGAAGTGCCTGGAAGAGCCTGTGGCACCACTGCAACCATGCTGCTTTATCCACACACACACACACACACACACACACACACACACACACACACACACACACAGGTCTCATTATCACAGCCTGTGTCTCCTGTGTGTGTGTCTGCTGTGTGTGTGTGTGTCTCCTGTGTGTGTGTCTGCTGTGTGTGTGTCTCCTGTGTGTGCGTCTGCTGTGTGTGTGTGCGTCTGCTGTGTGTGTGCGTCTGCTGTGTGTGCGTCTGCTGTGTGTGCGTCTGCTGTGTGTGCGTTCCTGTGTGTGCGTCTGCTGTGTGTGTGTCTCCTGTGTGTGCGTCTGCTGTGTGTGCGTCTGCTGTGGTCTGCTGTGTGTGCATCTGCTGTGTGTGCGTGTCTCCTGTGTGCGTGTCTCCTGTGTGCGTGTCTCCTGTGTGTGCGCGTCTGCTGTGTGTGCGTCTCCTGTGTGTGCGTCTGCTGTGTGTCTCCTGTGTGTGCGTCTGCTGTGTGTCTCCTGTGGTGCGTCTCCTGTGTGTGCGTCTGCTGTGTGTGCGTCTGCTGTGTGTGCGTCTGCTGTGTGTGCGTCTGCTGTGTGTGCGTCTGCTGTGTGTCTCCTGTGTGTGCGTCTGCTGTGTGTGCGTCTGCTGTGTGTCTCCTGTGTGTGCGTCTGCTGTGTGTGTCTGCTGTGCGTCTCCTGTGTGTGCGTCTCTGTGTGTGCGTCTGCTGTGTGCGCTGCTGTGTGTCTCTGTGTGCGTCTGCTGTGTGTGTCTCTGTGTGGCGTCTCCTGTGTGTCTCCTGTGTGTGCGTCTGCTGTGTGTCGTCTGCTGTGTGTGCGTCTGCTGTGTGTGCGTCTGCTGTGTGTCTCCTGTGTGTGCGTCTCCTGTGTGTGCGTCTGCTGTGTGTGCGTTGCTGTGTGTCTCCTGTGTGTGCGTCTGCTGTGTGTCTCCTGTGTGTGCGTCTGCTGTGTGTCTCCTGTGTGTGCGTCTGCTGTGTGTGTGTCTCCTGTGTGTGCGTCTCCTGTGTGTGCGTCTGCTGTGTGTGTGTCTCCTGTGTGTGCGTCTGCTGTGTGTGTGTCTCCTGTGTGTGCGTCTGCTGTGTGTGTGTGTCTGCTGTGTGTGTGTCTCCTGTGTGTGCGTCTGCTGTGTGTGTGTGTCTGCTGTGTGTCTCCTGTGTGTGTGTGTCGCTGTGTGTGCGTGTCTGCTGTGTGTGCGTCTCCCGTGTGTGTGTCTGCTGTGTGTCTCTGTGTGTGCGTCTGCTGTGGTGTGCGTCTCCTGTGTGTGTGTCTGCTGTGTGTCTGCTGTGTGTCTCCTGTGTGTGCGTCTCCTGTGTGTGCGTCTCCTGTGTGTGCGTCTCCTGTGTGTGCGTCTGCTGTGTGGCGTCTCCTGTGTGTGCGTCTGCTGTGTGTCTCCTGTGTGTGCGTCTCCTGTGTGTGCGTCTCCTGTGTGTGCGTCTCCTGTGCGTCTGCTGTGTGGTGTGTCTGCTGTGTGTCTCCTGTGTGTGCGTCTCCTGTGTGTGCGTCTGCTGTGTGTGCATCTGCTGTGTGTCTGCTGTGTGTGCGTCTGCTGTGTGTCTCCCGTGTGTGCGTCTGCTGTGTGTCTCCTGTGTGTGCGTCTCCTGTGTGTGCGCCTCCTGTGTGTGCGCGTCTCCTGTGTGTGCGTCTGCTGTGTGTCTCTGTGTGTGCGTCTGCTGTGTGTGTGTGTCTCCTGTGTGTGCGTCTCCTGTGTGTGCGTCTGCTGTGTGTGTGTCTCCTGTGTGTGCGCTCTGTGTGTGTGTGTCTGCTGTGTGTCTCCTGTGTGTGTGTGTCTGCTGTGTGTGCGTTCTGCTGTGTGTGCGTCTCCCGTGTGTGTGTCTGCTGTGTGTCTCCTGTGTGTGTGTCTCTGTGTGTCTCCTGTGTGTGCGTCTGCTGTGGTGCGTCTGCTGTGTGTCTCCTGTGTGTGTGTGTCTGCTGTGTGTGTGTCTGCTGTGTGTGTCTCCCATGTGTGTGCGTCTGCTGTGCGTCCCCCGTGTGTGTGTCTGCTGTGTGTGTCTCCTGTGTGTGCGTCTCCTGTGTGTGTGTCTGCTGTGTGTGTGTCTCCCGTGTGTGTGTCTGCTGTGTGTCTGCCGTGTGTGCGTCTGCTGTGTGTCTCCCGTGTGTGCGTCTGCTGTGTGTGGGTCTCCCGTGTGTGGGTCTCCCGTGTGTGGGTCCCCCGTGTGTGGGTCCCCCGTGTGTGCGTCTCCCGTGTGTGTCTCCTGTGTGTGTGTCTCCCGTGTGTGCGTCCCCGTGTGTGCGTCCCCGTGTGTGTGTCTGCTGTGCGTCCCCCGTGTGTGTGTCTGCTGTGCGTCCCCCGTGTGTGTGTCTGCTGTGCGTCCCCCGTGTGTGTGTCTGCTGTGCGTCCCCCATGTGTGCGTCCCCCGTGTGTGCGTCTGCTGTGTGTGTGCGTCTGCTGTGTGTGTGTCTGCTGTGCGTCCCCGTGTGTGTGTCTGCTGTGCGTCCCCCGTGTGTGCGTCTGCTGTGCGTCCCCCGTGTGTGCGTCTGCTGTGCGTCCCCCGTGTGTGCGTCTGCTGTGCGTCCCCGTGTGTGTGCGTCCCCCGTGTGTGCGTCTGCTGTGCGTCCCCCCGTGTGTGTGCGTCCCCCGTGTTGCGTCTGCTGTGCGTCCCCCGTGTGTGTGCGTCCCCCGTGTGTGCGTCTGCTGTGGCGTCCCCGTGTGTGCGTCTCCCGTGTGGTGTCTCCGTGGGTGCTGTGTGTGTGCGTCTGCGTGTGTGCGTCTCCCGTGTGTGTGTCTGCTGTGTGTGGTCTGCTGTGTGCGTCTCCCGTGTGTGTGTCTGCTGTGTGTGTGTCTGCTGTGTGTGTGTCTGCGTGTGTGTCTGCTGTGTCGGTGTGCTGTGTGTTTGCTGTTCGTCTGCTGTGTGTGCGTCTCCTGTTTGTGTGTCTCCCGTGTGTGCGTCTGCTGTGTGTGTGTGTCTGCTGTTCGTCTCCTGTGTGTGTGTCGCTGTGCGTCTCCTGTGTGTGCGTCTGCTGTGTGTGCGTCTCCTGTGTGTGCGTCTCCTGTGCGTCTGCTGTGTGTGTGTCTGCTGTGCGTCTCCTGTGTGTGCGTCTCCTGTGTGTGCGTCTGCTGTGAGTCTCCTGTGTGTGCGCGTCTCCTGTGTGTGCGCGTCTCCTGTGCGTCTGCTGTGTGTGCGCGTCTCCTGTGTGTGCGTCTCCCGTGTGCGTCTGCTGTGTGTGCGCGTCTCCTGTGTGTGCTTCTCCCGTGTGCGTCTGCTGTGTGTGCTTCTCCCGTGTGCGTCTGCTGTGTGTGCGTCTCCCGTGTGTGCCTGCTGTGTGTGCGTCTCCTGTGTGTGCGTCTGCTGTGTGTGTGTGTCTGCTGTTCGTCTCCTGTGTGTGCGTCTCCTGTGTGTGCGCGTCTCATGTGTGTGCGTCTCATGTGTGTGTGTCTGCTGTGCGTCCCCCGTGTGTGCGTCTGCTGTGCGTCCCCGTGTGTGTGCGTCCCCCGTGTGTGCGTCTGCTGTGCGTCCCCCGTGTGTGTGCGTCCCCGTGTGTGCGTCTGCTGTGTGTGCGTCTCCCGTGTGTGCGCGTCTCCCGTGTGTGCGTCTGCTGTGTGTCTCCCGTGTGTGTGTCTCCCGTGTGTGTGCCTCCCATGTGTGTGTCTGCTGTGTGTGCGTCTGCCGTGTGTGTGTCTGCCATGTGTGTGTCTGCCGTGTGTGTGTCTGCTGTGTGTGTGTCTGCTGTGTGTGTGTCTGCTGTGTGTGCGTCTCCCGTGTGTGTCTGCTGTGTGTGTGTGTGTCTGCTGTTCGTCTGCTGTGTGTGCGTCTCCTGTTTGTGTGTCTCCCGTGTGTGCGTCTGCTGTGTGTGTGTGTCTGCTGTTCGTCCCTGTGTGTGTGCTGCTGTGCGTCTCCTGTGGTGCGTCTCCTGTGTGTGCGTTCCTGTGTGTGCGTCTCCTGTGCGTCTGCTGTGTGTGTGTCTGCTGTGCGTCTCCTGTGTGTGCGTCTCCTGTGTGTGCGTCTCCTGTGTGTGCGCGTCTCCTGTGCGTCTGCTGTGTGCGCGCGTCTCCTGTGTGTGCGCGTCTCCTGTGCGTCTGCTGTGTGTGCGCGTCTCCTGTGTGTGCGCGTCTCCTGTGTGTGCGTCTGCTGTGTGCGTGTCTCCTGTGCGTCTGCTGTGTGCGCGTCTCCTGTGCGTCTCCTGTGTGTGCGTCTCCCGTGTGGCGTCTGCTGTGTGTGTGCGTCTCCTGTGTGTGCGTCTGCTGTGTGTGTGTGTCTGCTGTTCGTCTCCTGTGTGTGCGTCTCCTGTGTGTGCATCTCATGTGTGTGCGTCTGCTGTGTGTGCGTCTCCTGTGTGTGCGTGTCTCCTGTGTGTGCGTGTCTGCTGTGTGTGCGTCTCCTGTGTGTGCGCGTCTGCTGTGTGTGCGTCTCCTGGTGTGTGCGTCTCCTGTGGTGCGCGTCTCCTGTGTGTGCGTCTCCTGTGTGTCCCCTGTGTGTGCGTCTCCTGTGTGTGCGTCTCCTGTGTGTGCGTCTGCTGTGTGTGCGTCTGCTGTGTGTGCGTCTGCTGTGTGTCTCCTGTGTGTGCGTCTGCTGTGTTCTCCTGTGTGTGCGTCTGCTGTGTGTGTGTCTCCTGTGTGTGCGTCTGCTGTGTGTGCGTCTGCTGTGTGTGCGTCTGCTGTGTGTGTGTGTCTGCTGTGTGTCTCCTGTGTGTGTGTGTCTGCTGTGTGTGCGTGTCTGCTGTGTGTGCGTCTCCCGTGTGTGTGTCTGCTGTGTGTCTCCTGTGTGTGTGTGTCTGCTGTGTGTCTCCTGGTGTGCTGCTGTGTGTGCGTTGCTGTGGTGTGTCTCCCCGTGTGGTGTCTGCTGTGTGTCTCCTGTGTGTGTGTCTGCTGTGTGTGCGTCTGCTGTGTGTGTGTCTGCTGTGTGTGCGTCTGCTGTGTGGGTCTCCCGTGTGGGTCTCCGTGTGTGTGTCTCGCGTGTGTGCGTCTGCTGTGTGTCTCCTGTGTGTGCGTCTGCTGTGTGTCTCCTGTTGTGCGTCTGCTGTGTGTCTGCTGTGTGTGCGTCTGCTGTGTGTCTGCTGTGTGTGCGTCTGCTGTGTGTCTCCCGTGTGTGCGTCTGCTGTGTGCGCGTCTCCCGTGTGTGCGTCTGCTGTGTGTGCGTCTCCTGTGTGTGCGCGTCTCCTGTGTGTGCGTCTCCTGTGTGTCTCCTGTGTGTGCGTCTCCTGTGTGTGCGTCTCCTGTGTGTGGCGTCTCCTGTGTGTGCGTCTGCTGTGTGTGCGTCTGCTGTGTGTCTGCTGTGTGTCTCTGTGTGCGTCTGCTGTGTGTCTCCTGTGTGTGCGTCTGCTGTGTGTGTGTCTCCTGTGTGTGCGTCTGCTGTGTGTGCGTCTGCTGTGTGTGTGTGTCTGCTGTGTGTCTCCTGTGTGTGTGTGTCTGCTGTGTGTGCGTGTCTGCTGTGTGTGCGTCTCCCGTGTGTGTGTCTGCTGTGTGTGCGTCTGCTGTGTGTGTGTCTCCCGTGTGTGGTGTCTGCTGTGTGTCTCCTGTGTGTGTGTCTGCTGTGTGTGTGTCTCCTGTGTGTGTGTCTCCCGTGTGTGCGTCTGCTGTGTGTCTCCCGTGTGTGCGTCTGCTGTGTGTCTCCCGTGTGTGCGTCTGCTGTGTGTCTGCTGTGTGTGCGTCTGCTGTGTGTCTGCTGTTTGTGGGTCTCCCGTGTGTGCGTCTCCCGTGTTTGCGTCCCCCGTGTGTGCGTCCCCCGTGTGTGCGTCCCCCGTGTGTGCGTCCCCCGTGTGTGCGTCCCCCGTGTGTGCGTCTGCTGTGCGTCCCCGTGTGTCGCGTCTCCCGTGTGTGCGTCTCCCGTGTGTGCGTCTCCCGTGTGTCTGCTGTGTGTGCGTCTGCTGTGTGTGTGTCTGCTGTGCGTCCCCCGTGTCTCGTCTGCTGTGGCGTCCCCGTGTGTGCGCGTCTCCCGTGTGTGCGTCTCCCGTGTGTGTCTGCTGTGTGTGCGTCTCCTGTGTGTGTGTCTGCTGTGTGTGCGTGTGCTGTGTGTGTGTCTCCTGTGTGTGCGTGTCTGCTGTGTGTCTCCTGTGTGTGCGTCTGCTGTGTGTGTGTCTGCTGTGTGTCTCCTGTGTGTGCGTCTGCTGTGTGTGTGTGTCTGCTGTGTGTCTCCTGTGTGGTGTGTCTGGCTGTGTGCGTGTCTGCTGTGTGTGCGTCTCCCGTGTGCGTGTCTGCTGTGTGTGCGTCTCCCGTGTGTCTCCCGTGTGTGTGTCTGCTGTGTGTGTCTCCCGTGTGTGTGTCTCCTGTGTGTGTGTCTGCTGTGTGTGTGTCTCCCGTGTGTGTGTCTCCCGTGTGTGTGTCTGCCGTGTGTGTGTCTCCCGTGTGTGTGTCTCCCGTGTGTGTGTCTCCCGTGTGTGGGTCTCCCCGTGTGTGTGTCTGCTGTGTGTCTCCTGTGTGGCGTCTGCTGTGTGTCTCCTGTGTGTGCGTCTGCTGTGTGTCTGCTGTTTGTGCGTCTGCTGTGTGTCTGCTGTGTGTGCGTCTGCTGTTTGTGGGTCTCCCGTGTGTGCGTCCCCCGTGTGTGCGTCTGCTGTGTGTCTCCCGTGTGTGTGTCTGCTGTGTGTGTGTCTGCTGTGTGTGCGTCTGCTGTGTGTGCGTCTGCTGTGTGTGCGTCTCCTGTGTGTGTGTCTGCTGTGTGTGCGTCTGCTGTGTGTAGGTCTCCCGTGTGTGCGTCTGCTGTGTGTGCGTCTCCTGTGTGTGCGTCTGCTGTGTGTAGGTCTCCCGTGTGTGCGTCTGCTGTGTGTGCGTCTGCTGTGAGTGTGTCTGCTGTGCGTCCCCCGTGTGTGCGTCTGCTGTGCATCCCCCGTGTGTGCGTCTGCTGTGCGTCCCCCGTGTGTGCGCGTCTCCCGTGTGTGCGCTCCCGTGTGTGCGCTCCCGTGTGTCTGCTGTGTGTGCGTCTGCTGTGTGTGTGTCGCTGTGCGTCCCCTGTCTTCGTCTGCTGTGCGTCCCCCGTTGTGCGCGTCTCCCGTGTGTGTGTCTCCCGTGTGTGTGTCTCCCATGTGTGTGTCTGCTGTGTGTGCGTCTGCTGTGTGTGCGTCTGCTGTGTGTGCGTCTGCTGTGCGTCTCCCGTGTGTGCGTCTGCTGTGCGTCCCCCGTGTGTGCGCGTCCCCCGTGTGTGCGTCTGCTGTGTGTGCGTCTCCCGGTGTGCGCGTCTCCCGTGTGTGTGTCTGCTGTGTGTGTGTCTCCCATGTGTGTGTCTCCCATGTGTGTGTCTCCCGTGTGTGTGTCTGCTGTGTGTGTCTCCTGTGTGTGTCTCCTGTGTGTGCGTCTGCTGTGTGTGTGTCTGCTGTGTGTGCGCGTCTCCCGGTGTGTGTCTGCTGTGTGTGTGTGTCTGCTGTTCGTCTCCTGTGTGTGCGTCTCCTGTTTGTGTGTCTCCCGTGTGTGCGTCTGCTGTGCGTCTCCTGTGTGTGCGTCTCCTGTGTGTGCGTCTCCTGTGTGTGCGTCTCCTGTGCGTCTGCTGTGTGTGTGTCTGCTGTGCGTCTCCTGTGTGTGCGTCTCCTGTGTGTGCGTCTCCTGTGTGTGCGTCTCCTGTGCGTCTGCTGTGTGTGCGCGCGTCTCCTGTGTGTGCGTCTCCTGTGCGTCTGCTGTGTGTGCGCGTCTCCTGTGTGTGCGTCTCCTGTGTGTGTGTCTGCTGTGTGTGTGTCTGCTGTGTGTGCGCGTCTCCCCGTGTGTGTGTCTGCTGTGTGTGTGTGTCTGCTGTTCGTCTCCTGTGTGGCGTCTGCTGTGTGTGTGTGTGGCTCGTTCGTCTCCTGTGTGTGCGTCTCCTGTGTGTGTGTGTCTGCTGTTCGTCTCCTGTGTGTGCGTCTCCTGTTTGTGTGTCTCCCGTGTGGTGCGTGTCTGCTGTGTGTGTGTGTCTGCTGTGCGTCTCCTGTGTGTGCGTCTCTGTGTGTGCGTCTCCTGTGCGTCGCTGTGTGTGTGTCTGCTGTGCGTCTCCTGTGTGTGCGTCTCTGTGTGTGCGTCTCCCTGTGCGTCTGCTGTGTGTGCGGCGTCTCCTTGTGTCGTTCTGTCGCCTGTGTGTGGCGTCTCCTGTGTGTGCGTCTCCTGTGTGTGTGTCTGCTGTGTGTGTGTCTGCTGTGTGTGCGTCTCCCGTGTGTGCGTCTGCTGTGTGTGCGTCCCCCGTGTGTGCGTCTGCTGTGTGTGTGCGTCTGCTGTGTGTCTCCTGTGTGTGTGTCTGCTGTGCGTCTCCTGTGTGTGCGTCTCCTGTGCGTCTGCTGTGTGTGCGCGTCTCCTGTGCGTCTGCTGTGTGTGCGTCTGCTGTGTGCGCGTCTCCTGTGTGTGCGTCTCCTGTGTGTGCGTCTCCTGTGTGTTGTGTGTGCGCGTCTCCTGTGCGTCTGCTGTGTGTGCGCGTCTCCTGTGTGTGCGTCTCCTGTGCGTCTGCTGTGTGTGCGCGTCTCCTGTGTGTGTGTCTGCTGTGTGTGTGTCTGCTGTGTGTGCGTCTCCTGTGTGTGAGTCTCCTGTGTGTGAGTCTGCTGTTCGTCTCCGTGTGTGTGTCTCCCGTGTGTGCGTCTCCCCTGCGTCTCCCCTGTGTCCTTGGGACATGAGACACAGCATGGGCGTCCTCCTGTCCCTGTGTAACGTCTCAGCCTGTGTGATCAGAGGCTGGGCTCTGTGGCTGCTGAGCCCCAGTAAGTCTCACCGCCGCTGGTCTGGGATGCGCAGCCGAAGATGGAAACTCAGCTCGCTCGTCGTTTCCTTCGGCCTCGCTTTCATCGCTCGAGATTCGTCCGTGGACCAGAGGCGAGGGGACTCTGGGATTACCCTCATCCGACCGCTGGCTCTCCTCCTCTGGGGCACTCTCTACCACAGCCGTAGGCCAACTAGAACACACACAGGACCATCCAGATCCAGTTACACCCTCAGCAGCACCACATCAGCTCCTTCCCTACACTTGATGCACACGCTGTACTGAGCCGCGAACTGGTGGACTCATCTGAGAAGCCTTTAAACTTGCTCTGTTTGGGATTATGTAACAGAACGAACACCTGGGTGTTAGTTTAGCAGACCATCAGTCCAGCACGTCTATGTTACAGCAGCAGCTGTTAGCTGCTTGATAAAACAGTTGCCCAGCAGCTGACTACACATGAATCCTGCAAGCCAAACCATGTTTGAGCCACTATAATCAGTAAAAAGATGATTATTTATCTCTAGAAGAGTCCTAACTTCTTCTATAAGCATCCTTAGCTTCAGCATTCTTCACAACCTGAAGGCAGGGAGGGTGACCAAAGGTCTCCTGCAGTGTGGAGTACCAGCTTGCTCCCTGGGGGCCTCTGGGCTGAGGGACTGTCCCGTCGAGGAGCCTCCCTCCAGGGCTGGGCTCCCTTTCTCTCGAACCCTGGTCTTGAGTTCTGCCACTAGCTGGTCAAGTCTTGCTGCGGCCCACCACCTTCCTCCTCTGGTGGATGGAGTGAATCTGAGGGAAAGACAGATCAATTGTGTGTTTGCTGTGGATCTGAGCAGGCCTGTGTGATGGGACTGACTGGATACTGTGGAGTTTCAGAATCGATTCTTTCAACAACAGGACAGTATAACAGTGCTTTTGAAAGATACATCATCCCCCCCTATAGAGTCCACATTAAACTCCTCCCACAGTCGAGACATTTTCATCTGAACAGCACAAGTTGTCCCCATTAATGAACGCCGTACGAACCCCCAGTGTTCCAGCAGAAGCACCATTTCTCCACAGAGCTGTTTTGGTGTACACTGTACTTCCTGTATGTGCAGTGGATCAACATAAAGACTTGACAGCGTTTCACACAGCTCAGAAGAATACTGCAGTCGGTCACCTCTCTCATCAACAAGCTGCACGTCTGGCCTCGATGGTGACCGCTCTCTTTTGCAAACTGCGCAGTTCTGACACTCTCCATGCGTGATCAGTGGGATTCAGATTAGCGTGTCGTCTTCACAACAAACAGAGCGTGTCGGGGTCCTGGTCCTGCTGGTCCGTGACCTCTGACCCAGCTGTCTCACACTGACCCTACACTGGTAGTCTTCAGATCTCATGATGCCTCGCACACCGTCAGGCCAGAGCAGCAACGGTGTCTGACTGTACTACTGTGTCGTCTCCTTGGTAGGCCTCGCTCTGTTCTCTGATGGTCTTGTCGTGCACTGTGGTAAACGCCAAGGCGGCTTTTTCCTGTCCAGCAGTGGGCGGTCTGGCTCTCCTGCCTTTCGTTCCTTCACATGTCGATGGACAGCTTGGAGTTGTTCCTGCACTGCAGTCTTTTATCAGCTGTTGTCTTCAGTGCAGGGAGCTCAGCCACAGCGTGTTGTGAACCTCCCTCCAGTGTAACTGGCTTCAGGTGTGACTGACGTATGGCCACCACCTGTTTCAGGATGCTCCGTGGCAGGTTGGAGCCGTGTGTGAATCACTGTCAGAGCGTGTTGTGTTGATGCACTGCACGTGTCCTGTCACTGCCCGTTCAATCCTGCATTGTTATCTATACTGCGACGTTTCACCACACCTATGGTGACGTGTAAGGAGACAGGAGATGTTCTGGAAATATTATGAAGAATAGGCTTTATTGGTGCTCAGAGCTCACACGAGATGAAAGACACCGAGTTTGGGACAGACTGGACCTCACACCAGTTTGAAAGTGGGAGAGCTGTGGTGAAGACCACGATGGGATCTGTCACATATTGATATCACATTGTTGAGGAGATCGATCCAGTGGAAAACAAAAAGGACTCACGGCTGTGCAGGACAACTTCAATGACAGAATGACATGTGACACACAGGTTACACAAACGTTCATGATAACAGCATGATGAGTGTGCGTGAGGGCTGAACATGGCGGACAGGCTCGAAGCCCACACGCTGCCTGTCACTGGGTCACAGCTGACAGCACGCCTCACCTGTACTTACCACACTGAAGCACTAACATGGGACAGCACGCGTGGGTGTGTGTGTGTGTGTTGCTTACATTGCATGTCAGGAGGCGGGTGCACACTTCTTCCTGTCGGGGTCAAGGACGCACAGTGTTTGTCCAAGTCGCACTTCCTCTCTGAGGACACACAGAAGCACGTGAGCCACAGTGGTGACAGCACAAGCTCACGTCTGTTGTCCAACGTGTGGAACACGGTTTCATTCTATTTGAAAGCAACGGCCGTCTGCAGCGCGGCCGCAGCTGCGCTCTCTGCACTCGGCAGGCTGATCCTTCATGATGCATCACAGCGCGTCACGCTGTGTGTCAGCAGACGCCGGCTGCAGACTCAAACAGAACAAAGACATCGCACAGACACATGAACGCAGCGTTCCAGAATAGCTCGGAGTGACGCTCGCTGTTTTAACAGTGCCGCCATCTTGGATGCTACTCGGTCACATGGTTGGCTCGGACTTTCCGAGTGGGAAACAAAAACCTTTAAAACTTGGCATCGACTTCCGACTTATTCGGGAAACGCACCACACTTCTACTGACATCTACTTTCTCTATTGCCTGCACGTCTGAACTTGTACTCACTGGAAGCCACTTTGTTGTAGGTCTGGGGATGCGGTGGCGTGTGCAGCGGAGGTTTGAGTGGAATCCTTTCTCACTGTGGGGTGCCTGTCACTGGGTGAAGATCTACCAGGCGGAGTAGCTCCGTGTGGCCAAGGGGGATCTCTGAGAGACGGAGGTGGGGAGCTCATGGGAGGCTCGAGAGGTGGTGCTGCTTGAATACCGAAGAGTCAAAGTGGCTGTGGGACTTCTCCAGTGGGGAGTGTCTTGGTGACGAGAGAAGAAGTTCACAGTTTGTCATCGTAGCCAATGAAAAACAACCATGTGTGAATAAGAGGGCTCTAATGTTTCAGTCCTGCGCTCTACATTAGCTGTGCTCGCTCAGATACGTGTTCGTCTCTCTAACACAGCTCTGTGCTGATTGGTCGCAAACACAAGGTTTGGATAGAAGGTGTGTGAGGCTTTGTACTGAGCTGTGATTAATAACTTTAACATGATAATCCCACCACGCTCCACCAAGTATGTCAGGAACTGAAGAAGATGCCCACTTTCATGCCGGCTTCTCTCCAAACACCAATCCTTTCTACCAGCTGGAACGATGACACGGGCTGCCACGAGCAGGTTACGCTAGCACACATCAGGACACGCCAAAGGGCTTCAACTCACCAAAACTCGAAAATAAAAAGTCAAATGTGTATTTGAGAGAAAAATCGAGTGGCGATGAGCTGAGACAGATTCTACCACAGACAGTCCCACCTCATTTCTGGTGCAACCCTGTCTGTGGTCCCCAGACTCCAGCAAGCACCGAGTTCAAAAACAGCCAACAGCCTTTCATCCCAAGAAAGGTTTAGCTTGGCTGTTATGACAGGTGTTATTCTACATCAGCATCCACGGAGGATCTATGGTGCTAGCTTCCCATCTAGACATGATGCATCAGACATACGGTCTGCTGTTACCTGATCAAAGATTATGACTATGGCTCACTGGAGCTTCAGCTAGCTACAGAGCTAGGGTAATAAGCAAACACATTAGCACAGTGACAAAGGCATCAGGTTTAAAGGTATCATTAATGTGCTGCTGGTTTGGAGACTCGCTACAAAGAGAGGCCAACACTCGCGTTTGTCATTTCAATTAGATATAAGAACACATTACAACATTTGTACAGAGATTTAGACGAACAAAATCATTGCACGTCCAATCCAAGCTAGCCACAACTCTGAACAGCTGACATCATCTATTATTGCTTAATCAAGCTCGGACAATTTTGACTGGACTGTGTTCTTACCGCATCCGTCCTTGGAAGTTTTCGAGTATCTGTACTGTGGTGGTGTGACGGGTGAAGGTGGAGCCGCCCGGAGCTGCCCGACTCCCTGGTTTCGACCCTCCCACGAAGCAGCGTTGGTCCATGAGGAGGAGAGGGGCCGTGATGCTTCTCTGTTGGGGTTGCGGTCGGGGTGGAGAGCGTAGCGGCGTACAGCTTGGCCACAGCCCGTGTCTCCGCTCGCAGTGCTTTCAAAGGCCTGTGGCTTCACGACCTGCCCGCAATGGCTGCAAACCACCAGGTAGAAGTCGTCATGGCCAGGGTAGAGGCCAAGATGGACATGTCTTGAAGAAGAGTGGGAACACAGAAAGACGTACTCTCACTTAGAGGAAACCTACGGTTTCAAACATCCTAAATCTGCACGTGCTTCTTGCGACTGACATGCTCGTAGCCTGCTGTGCTGCTGGATCTGCTTCTACTGTGTAGCCTGTTCCATGGAGAAGCTGTAAGTCGGGCTTACTTACCCGACTAAGTATTGCAGACTCAGTTGAATGTGATGACATTTTCAGGCTTGTTTCACTCACTAAACAAGGTATGGTGTGCGATATATCAAATATACTCAACGTATCGCGGTTTTTCCACGTGCAATGGTTAAAGTGGCTTTATGGGAACCATTGAGTACAGGTTGCCATGGAAATATTAAGCTGTCTGCATGTAACCCATGCTGCAGATGCATGTCGTTCGGATTTCACGAGGAGGATGTCGAACAAAATGCAGTCTTTGCAAAACATGCCGTGAAACTATCGCTGCAAAATGTAGCAGCAGCACAAATGTATCCACCAGCTGAAAAGGTGTTTGAACGTCTGCACGTGAACGTCTGCACGTGAACGTCTGCACGTGAACGTCTGCACGTGAACGTCTGCACGCACACCGAACAGTAAACCAGCTGTGACTCTCGTTTCTGTCATTTAAGGTCGGCAGTTTTCACGCGTCATAGGCACAAAGAGCACCTTGTGGTGCTGTTAGCATCTTTCACTTGGTGCGAGATCCTAAATACTTCTAAACTACTAAAGCTGAGTGCTCCCTCTCGCTGACGCGTGCTCTGAATGTGCACAGCATCATGGTGCACACATGCTGCACACTGTGGGGAGCAGGTATCCTCTCACATCATCATCTCCAAAAACAGGCCGAGCGTGTTTATTGAAATGATGTGATGAGCTCTGTATCTCTGTGCTCACCAACACATCTCCTCTTTCCCAGCTTGTGTTTGTCAGTGAAAGAGTCCCGTGTGTCTACTGAAGGCATCATGAGTGGAGCCGTGTCTTAGAGAAAACAGCATGAGCGCATTAGCAGAATTATAAGTCGGTAAAGACTTTTTAGCGGCTGATAGCCATCCACTTCTTCCCCTGCTCACAAATAAACTCCCCGCTTTCTGGGTCAAACAGTATGTATGTATGTGCAAGTCAACATCCCGCCCCAGCAGCAGGCGTGCAGGTATACAGGATGATCACACGACAGTGCTCAGCCAGGCTCACGTAAATCCACCCGACTGGGGACCAGAATGCATCCGCTGCCCTGACCAGTGACGGGCCAGTCAGCCTCCTGGTGGTCTTAATAAGAAGCTGGCTGTTTTCATGCATCTGCAGCACAGCCACACGCCAACACGTCGGTATGTGGAAGCCAATAACTGTGAGTAAAAGTTTGCCAAACAGAAGTTTGGACGTGCACACTTTATAGAAGCTAACGCTATCCAGCCCTCGATCGAAGCAGTTAGACAATGATGGAGGAGTCAGATCAGCCTGTCGTCGGTCAACATGTCCAGTCGCCCAACCTTAGCGTGCACTTTGTTACAAACACAAACCTTTATGAGAAATTCACTGACATAAAAATCGGATTGTAAATGATGGCATCAACTGGTGAGGCTCCCCTGATGTGCACCATGAGCAGGAGCTTGGTGCTAGCTGGAACCACAGGCCGGAAACGCTGCAAAGCTTCACTTAGAACGACGAAGCTGGCGTGCACGTGCCAAACACTCACGCTCCTCTACGTGCCAAATACGCTCCAACACACCGTCGTCACAGACGCGTGTTACAATGCACAGAATTACAAAGCATGTGGCTTGTGTAGTGTTATAAGCTGTTAATATAACTACAAAAGAAAAATAGAAATTTAAGCCTATTTCCAACAAAAGCTGTGTTCACGATAAGCGACCTGAAACTCAGCGTGAGCTCTGTGAAGACTCTTCATTGTTAAACTTTGACGAAACATTCGGAGTCTGGCCAAAGTTTTTTAACCAAACCTGCACAGCAGATTCAAACTAAGAACAGTGGGGGCTTCAGATCAGCCTTGTCTGGCTCTTATGGCCGTGTGATCCTCACACGCACTGTCAGGTACCCCCCGAGTTGTGGTGTCATGTTCTCATAAACAGCATCCAGCATGTGTATGTGCAAAGGTGTGTTTGTTAGAAAAGCTGAGATCCATAAGTATGAGGCATGTTTCCAACCTGCACACTTACCCTCTTTACTGAGTGACATTGCCTCTGCAGCCTTTTTGCCATTCTTATTGCAGTCATCCACATCAGGCCCTGAAACACATGTTCAAGACAGCCACTGTCAGCTGTGATGTTGGTATCACCATTAGTAATGCTCATCTTACATCACACATAGCCCATATTAATAAGCTGTGTTATGTAATTGACTCAGATCTCGTTTCTTCAGGAAGTACTCGTAGTCCAAGTATACGATCAGCAGGCAGTAGCTAATGGCACTGGGTGGTGGGGAGACTATCTGACAGTTAATGGGCAGAGCAGCACTGGAGAAACGCCAAACAGTGACTCTAAGCTAGCAAGAACACTGTGGGCAGAAGCCACATATATGAGGAATCGTGTGGCGAGTCCACGAGTATCATTGTTTAGGAAGCGAAGTGGGAACGACACGCAAAATGTTTCCTTCTATCACAGGATGGGCCAGCGGTGCAGAAGCGTCAGACTCCTCCTCCGTCACCGGCTCTGAATCCGGCTGCTGCTAGCGTTAGCATGCTGATGCTAACTACCTCGTCGCCACCGGCTAGTCGGGCTCGCATGGTAGCTTGTATGCTCGCTTTCCACGGCCAGCCGTCCACACTAGCTTCCTTCCGCTCTGATGTCAGCCAGCCCTGCCGGTTTTCTCCACACGAATGGTCTCCCCTAAACGCTGCAGACTGTTTTATGACCACACAGGTGGAAATCATGCTACAATGACTGTGTCCTTACAATTATAATTTTTGTAACCTAGTGAAGACCAACATGTTACCCACCCAGCACTAGGACCCGGTAGGGTCTTTGTTTGGGTAACATGTTTAGCTCCGTCCTGCGTTTCCGCGAAAATAAACACTGCTGCTTCCGTTAAATGGCTCCGTACCGATCAGTGTTTGTGTCAGGGTGTTTCCTTACCATCCGCCGGCGTCATGCCCGCCCAATCGGCCCAGGCAGTCCAGCTTTGACCCACGAAATCATCGAGGCTAGGAACCCGCCGATCCAGAGCAGCCATTACTTTTACTGCGCGTTCACGAACCGCCATCATCACTGCGCGGCAAGCAGCTTACGTCATCTCGCGTTCTCGACAGGAAAGGAACTTCCTGCGTGCGCGTGCTGGGGACACCCACACAAACAGAAGGCTTGGCTCTAAGAGCTGTCCCACTTTTGTACCGTGGAAATGACAGAATGTTATCAACACAGCACACGCGTGGACGTAGTATGGTTGAATGCGCAGTGAAAACAGAATGACATGTAAGAAACATCACAGCTTCCACAGATCCGCTGCCGCCTGTCTTTACACCTTGTCGCGTGTGGTGAGGCACATGATCAATAGTTGGTCCACGACCCTGTTAAGGGACAGAGGCACCCACTTTGTCCCCTCTGCATAGACTGGTACTCCTCTATCATGTACCAGACAGCCTGGTTAGAGTGCCACAGCTGCACACCTGCACAGGTACATTATCCTCTGAGCTTCCTCCATTCATCCTTCTTCCACCTGCTCCTGTCTGACACTTACCTCCACCAGACTATTTGATCTTCTCCTCCATTTCACTTCCTGTCCACACCATGATGGAACAGTTGGAACTTTGCTTGCTCTCCTGCATATATCGGCCTTCTTTCCTTCTGTCTCCATCATATCAGCCAGCTCTCTCCCTGTAACAGTCCCTCACTGCCACACGCCTGCCTTTCCTTCTCTCTTGTTGCCTCTTCTTTTGTCTTCATGTAAGAGTAGCACATTTGTACCGGCACCCTGCTGCCCACCAGCACCTGAGGCGATCATTGTTAACCAATCTAAAGCCCAGCACAAACAGCAGGACCTAGTTCGGCGTTCTGTATCGTACACTCACACGGGATAATGTTTGCCAGGAGGTGGCACAGATCAGTGAAAGGATGTGGTCTTGGTGAGGAGAAGAAGAGAATGAGTCCAGGCAGCGTTTCCAGTAATCCACATGGATATTGCACCAGTGAAAAGGGAGCATTGGAGGGTGAGCAGGCAGGCGAGTGCGGAGTTAAGCAGCGTCCTGTGGAGGCGGCTGAGTATGACAGGCACTCCTATAACCAGCAAAGGCACACACAGGAACCTGGAAGGGAATTTTACCAAAGGAGCAGCCTGGTTAGTTAGTTAGCTTTTAACACGCTGATCTTTCCTATTGGAAGTCAAACTGTGTAGTCAGGTGAGCGCAGTAGTCCACTCCAGCGTTGTCCATTGGAGACAGCGAGCCAAGGTAAAGCCACACCTTGCAGCTGATGTCTGTGAACGTGTTATTCATGTGTCCATTACTTGCAGACTGGACTGCTGCAGTTCTCTGTACTTTGGTTTGGACCAGGCCTCTCTTCATGATCTCCAGTTGGTCCAAATGCAGCTGCTCGCCTGCTGACGGGCACTAAGGAGCCTGTAACCCCAGCGCTGGCCTCCCTGTTCCTGTCTAATTTAACATCCTACTTTTTGGTTCTAAGTCAGTTAACAGCGAGCTTCTACCTGTCTGAGTTGTGTATTTATGCTCCAGAAACAACTATAAGCTAACGTTAACGAATCCACAGACTAAAGTGTGGTGGTGACCAATGTTCCCTCTAATGTTTCATGTGTCTGAACACACAAACTCCCTGAGCGGCCCTTGGACCAGGGTGAGCGACAGCAGACGTGGTCACTGTGGTCACGCCAGCATCCAAGTTACATGTTTATTAAAATAACAAATTACAGCATTTACATTTTTTTAGTATTTAGTATTTATTTATTTATTGTCATTGTCAAGAACAATGAAATTGCGTTGGGGCTTCCATACAACCCAAAAAAAGAGAAGAAAATAATAAATACCCCTTAAAACCCAAGTGTACATATTTAACCCAGTGTGACTCCAATGCAATAAGACAATCCTTAGCAATAATGTTCGTAGAAATTCAGACAAAGACCTGAGAAACATGACAAAATACAACAATGCAACCCATTCAATATTATTGTACTGTGAGATATGATATCAGATATGATAGTTATCTATTTAAGAAAGAGGGGGGGGGGGGGGGCAGGAGGGGAAGAGAATAAAGATATGATGCACCAATGCAGACCAGTTCATTGCTATTAAGAAGTTGGATATGGTTATTGTCCGTGAGAGGGGGCAGAGAGTTCAGGAGCCTCACAGCCTGTGGATACAGGCTGTTGGCCAGTCTGGATGTTCTGGCCTGTATAGACCTGTACCTTCTCCCTGAGGGCAGCAGATGGAAAAGGTGGCGCGCAGGGTGATGTTGGTCCCGCAGGATACTGTGCACCCTCCTCAGACAGCGAGTGGGGAAGATATTACTGATCTCTGGCAGACTTGTTCCAATAATCTGCCAGCTTCTTTCACCACCCGCTGGAGTGCTTGCTGGTCGCCTTGGTGCAGCTGGGGAACCACACTAGAAATCCATACGTCAGAACGCTGCTGATGGCACAGTTGTAGAAGTTCAACATCAGAGATCTGGGAATGTGTGCGCTCCGCAGTCTCCTCAGGTAGTAGAGGCGCTGTGGCCTTCCGTACAACTGAGGTGATATGGTTGCCCCAGGACAGGTCCTCGGTCACAGTTACCCCAAGAATTTAAAACTGCTCACCCTCTCCACCGCCTCACTGCCAATGAAGAGAGGCAGATGGTTGTTATGACCCTCTTCCGGAAATCTACAATGATCTCCTTGGTCTTTTTGGTGTTTAAGACCAAGTTATTGTCGTGGCACCATGACTCTAGTTGTTGCACCTCTGTCCTATAGTTTGTCTCATCATTGTTGGATATAAGTCCGAGCACTGTAGTGTCATCTGCAAACTTAACAATGAGATTGGACGCGCAGGAGGAAATACAGTCATGGGTGAAGAGAGTGTATAGCAGAGGGCTCAGAACACACCCCTGAGGGCACCGTGTTGACCACAAGGTAGAAGAGGTTTCTTACCCACTCTGACACTCTGTCTACGTTAGTGAGGAAGTCCACAATCCAGTTGCACAGAGAGGAGTTAAGTCCCAGTTGTGAGTTTGGGACGAGTTTGTATGGCCGGATGGTATTAAAAGCCGACTTAGTCTACAAAGAGGACCGTGCATAGTGTTCCTGTGTTCCAAGTGCTTCAGAATGTGTGCAGCACTGTGGCGATCGCATCCTCGGTTGACCGGTTCTCCCTGTATGCAACTGGTGCGAGTCCAGGATGGTGGAAAAGCAGCTCTGATGTGTTTAATGACAGTCCTCCAGGCATTTGCGGGAATGGGTGAGTGCCACAGGTCTGAAATCGTTCAGACATGTGACATTTGACTGTTTTGGGATGGGAACGATGGTTGCTGCTTTGAAACAGGATGGTACCAGTGAACAGGACAACGAGGTGTTATATATAGAGGTGAAGACGTCCGCCAGGTCCGCAGCACAGTCTTTTAGCACCCGGCCCAGCACTCCATCCGGCCCGGCCGCCTTCCTGGTGTTAATGCTCCGGAACACACGCCTCAGCTCATGAGTGCTCAGGACCGGAGCAGGGTCGGTTGAGGGAGAGGGACAGGACAGGGTCGGTGTTCTCCCTGTCAAAACGGGCATAAAAGAGATTTAGATCCTCAGCCAGAGTAGAACTGTCGGCTGAGGGTGATGGTGTTCTTCTTTTGTAGTCCGTGATAGCCCTGATGCCCTCCCAGACCTGCCTTGGGTTTGTGTTGTTCTCAAACCTGGCCTTATGTTAGACTACTTTTAATTAACTGCTTTATCCCACTTACAATGAAAAAAAAATCTTGTTCATGACCTGTGCAGCATGTTAACACTGTTGGAAGGAAAAATAACTTCAACTGCAATTTTGAAAAGACAACTTTGTTTTTTTTTTTTGTTATAAAGCTGACTGTATTATGAGTCTGACTCGTGGGAGAGGTCTGTAACTCTGTCTGCAAATACAGGATATAAGACCAATGTTGGGCAATTAATTATATAGTTACTTCTTCAAAAAAGTAACTGAGTTTTGCAAACAACAAAGTTCCGTCTGTCCTGCTCACATCTCCAATGGTCGTACCAGGGGCGATTTTAGCCCATTTTTGGGGTGCTTCAGTGATTCCCCAAAATGAATCAAAGCACCCCAAAGATTTCTTACTTCTTTTTTTTTTTTTTACAATATTTGCTGTTTGTGTGACACACTACTAAAAATATAAAAAGCATACAGTGCTGTACTTGTTTGAGACGTAACACTTTAACAACAAAAGTATAGATAACCCCCCCTCCCTTCCAAAATGGTTTGTTCCAGCTCTCCCCTGCTCTGGCTCTAGCGCTCTGTCTGCCAGAGCGATGGTGGCTGAGACGCAGCGAGCGGAGGTGGAAGTGCCTGGCTTAAAAGAGTTAGGTAGGAGTCAGGCCTTGTTTATTTTTATTTATTTTATTTTATTTGTCACTGAATGATTGATTTATTTTGAACATGACTAAAATAACAACAAAATACACTTTAAACAACAGTGAGACAAAGAAAGGGTTGGTACAAACAGACTTAAAGGTAAACTCATTTGATCCTACCTCAACATACAACATACATGTATAATTACATACAATTCTATAAGTCTACAAACAGATGTCACGCATAAAAATCCTAATGATGAAGCTAAATATTGGGTTTAATTGTGCCTGTCTGTAGAACAAATGAAATGTTTTGAATAAAAAAGGGTCCACGCATATCTCAAATCAGGCACCAAAGTATGTATCTCATTTACAGTGACAGAGTTTTCCCTTCCTTCCTCTCCTTTTACATAAAGTATAATTACCATTATATAAGCAATCATATATCTGTGTCTATACATACATATACCTAAATAAGTATATACAAAGGAGGGGGAGAAAAAAACAAACAACCCCCCCCACCTGCCCAGACCAATGTGTAAAATCTTGGAGCAGATATGGTGCCACAAAAAGTGCCATTACTGTGTCTGTGGGAGCTGTTTTTTAAAAACATTTAGACCAGCAGGTGGCGATATTAGGACATGTCCAAAACATGTGACAACGAGGCAGAATTCTGGCCACATCGATCACAGCTTGAGTCCGCCCCTGGAAACATCTGTCGTAGGATCCAAAACGAAATTAAAATCATCAGTTTATGGGTGTCCATATTAGGTAAAGAGGATATAAATGATTTAATAAAACCTGCATCATCAACATTA